ATTACTGCGGTATACCTGTGGTGCCTAGCAGATGAGATGCACAATAAGGGGCGAAGCCACATGCTCCCCACTCAGCCCCGTGGCTGAATGGGTGATGCTGGCAGCTGCCTAGATAGCATGTCATCTCTACCCACTGGCCTGGGAGGAGGATGCCATTCCTGCAGCTTGGCCTGAGTCCCACCAGTAGACACATCCTTTTGGTGGAGCTGTCAGGAGGTGGTCCACCTTCTTGCTGTCTCCATTTCCCTTTAAGGGCAAACCCAGAAACTATGGCTCACAGGCACGCTGCCATAGAACAAACCACAAGAATGCACTTTAGTGACTGGGGGTCCCTCTTGAACCTGGTTTATTAGCATTCAGCAAAAGAAACATAGGTTGTTACAAACAGGAAGTGCATCAAGATATCCAGATGTCAGTGAGAATTGGGATCGGGGAGGTCACGATCCGGGCGACTCTGTGACGTCTCAGGAACAGAGAAGGGGAAGTGAGGGTGCATCCAGGGGCCACACTCCCCTCTCTGTACTGGGAGAGAAAGAACTTTTATACCTGGTGTTGGGATGTACTGCAGTTTCTAATTTCTTCCCTCTGTCCCCCAGCCATTTTATTGAATAGGACCTAAATATACATTCCTGGTTTCTTCCCTCCCACCCCAACCCCCGTATACAGCAGGGAAAATAAGCACCAATAGTAAACAGGAATAATAATTAAAATCCTGCCTCTCGGTAAGCCCAACCCTTATACATATACACGCCATGTGGATTTTCTTCTTTGGAGTGACTACAGGATGAAAGTGTGGGGATCAAGCTGGTAAGCCATAGCCCCCCCGACAGTCACTGTTTCCCAAAGTACCATCCATGTGTGAGCTGGAGCAGGGCCAGGGAGCGGGAATGGTGGTAGCAGGGAGAGACTCCCCCAAAGCAGCATGAGGGGGCAAGGAGGTCCCCAGTGTTTCTTCTGGGTGAATGTCCCAGTAACTGAGCTCCTGGTTAAGTCCCATGCAAGGGTTTCCTGGATAAGACGGCTAATTCCTGATGGTTTGAGTATCCCTGCCATCTGTCTCCCCCAACTTTGTGGGGAGACAGGGCATGGCTGAAACCCTCTGCCCTCCCCAATGGGTGGAGAACGTCCCTGTCCCCACAATGTTCCTTTGGAGAAACTTGACATGACAAGTAGCACAATATGGGCACTCTGGTTTCAAAACAAAAGCACAGAACATAAAGGAGAGAGTGTGCGTGTGAGAGAGTGAGAGAGAGGTACTTCCAGAGGGGTCTACAAACAGGGAAGGGTCCAGAAGAAACAAAATAAAGCCATAACACAACACACTGTCTACCAGGTTCCACATGCCTGAGTCACCTGGCATTTGTCTAAGTACCTGGGCACCTTCTGCTGTCCCTAGCATGGAGCGGGGGATGGACAGGGTGACACATCAGGGCTGGGGAGAGGGGCAAGAGTGAGGGCCCTGGGCAGCTGAGATGTCAGCCCTCTGCACAAGCAGCAGCAATTTTTGTGTCATCTTTGTTTTGTTTAAAACTGTAAACAGCACCGCTTAAAAATAAAATATATCAGAAAAGAACAATTGATAAACATTGTTTTCCATGAATATAAAATGCAAACAATACAAAAATAGATAATTGACTTTTGAGATATATATATATATATATTAAAAACAACTTGGATGCAACATACACATGGGTAAACTTGAAGTCTCCCTGCTAATCCCCCATGCCTCCCTCTAGCAATTGGGCCCGGGGGCCAAGGGCACGTAGGATAGTGGCCCTGGCAAGGGTGGGAAAGTCACTGGCAGCAGGATAAGGGAAACGCACCCTGGGTTTGAGAAGCTACTTCCCTCCTGGGTACAGCACAGAGGAGGGAAACTAGTGTCAACTGAAGCCTTTGGCCCAGGGGGCTCATGAACTTGTGCCCAGGCTGAGTCCAAATGGGCAGAGCAGGCCCTACCTGGGCCCCAAGGCAGGGCTTCCTCAGAGGTGCCAAAGCACCGAGAAGCTGGCGACCCTGGGAGAGAGGCCTCCTAGGTGGCCTGTTCTATCCAGTCACTGGGCCCCCAAGGACCATCTCATTTGGGAATTTTCGGGATCAGAGCTGTCTGGCACTAGGTAAGCCTGCTGGGTAGAGAGATGAGGGCAGCCACCTCGTCTCAAGTCACATCTTGCCTTGAAGTCATGTCCAAAGGCAGTATCCCAAGACCTTGCAATGTAGACATGGTGTTCACCTGGTCACAGCCTCAGAGGTGTGGACTTGACGTCAACACCTTTATTCCAGGCATCCTTGGCATCAGCCATGCAAGCACTGGCCCACATTTGGGAAAAGGCCCAGAGCTTGGCTGGTTGTTCCAGCATGACCCTGTATCACATGTCCCTAGGCAGGTCTTTCTTCCTCTTCGAGGCTGCAGCTGGGATTCGGCCAGCAGCTGCTTGGATCCCGAGTGAGACTCTAAAGGAGTCTCCTTCTGCAGCCATGCACCCTGACTGCCCCACTTATGGTGGTGAGGATCCTGTCCCTGGGCTGGCCAGGAACCGTGAAAGGACTTGCAGGCAGCAGTGTTGTCCAAACCATAAGCTGCTAATCGGTCCTAGGCCCTATGCTGTGGTGCACAACCTTCCCAAAGGCCAGCAAACTCCGTCAAGGCTATGACTTCTCCCTTCAGAGGCAGCGCCTCCTGCTGCCCTCCTGTCATCAAGGGCAGCTCTCAGCCCTTGGCCAAAGGCTGACCACCTACTTTTTTCTCTTCCCAGATAGGCCGGTGGCCCAGTGAGCTCTGGAGGCTGGTGATGGCTCTATTACCTGCTGTGGCTGCCAGAGTCCACATCCAGACAGGAGCTTGAGCTGCCCTAAAGGACAAGCAGAGACAGAGGAGGCAAGTAGTGGGTTTTCCCGTGGTAAAGGCATTTGGTGAGTGTTTACTTCCTGCCAGCCAGGCCAATAGTCAGCCCCACCCTCCCGGGGCAACTTTGGTGAGAGGACAGAAGGTTGGCATTTGGGCATTTCCCTCCTGGAATGCTGTGCTTGGTGTGAGGAGGGCTTTCCTCACCCTATTTCATTCTCCAGCACCAGGGCTGACACATCTCTTCATGATAGAGACAATGTCAGCCTGGGGAGCTGGTCTGGGTCCCTTGAGTGGTGGTGTTGGTGCCATGCAAACTTATGTGATGTTCCCAGGGTTACAGCTTCTACCAGCTGAGCCTGATCTGGGAGGGGAGGGGAAGGGCCCTGGGCCAACCCCAATCTGAGAAAGGGTGACAAACACCAGTACAAATATATCCCCAGTGAGGGGCACTTTGCCCACAAAGTCACCTCTGTCACTCAGGAGGCCAACAACACCCATTCCTAAGCCAAACTTCTGTATCTCAGGAATGGCAGGAGTCCTGTCGACCTCTTCACAGGCAAGAAGATGGGTGGGGGCAGGCCAAGGACAGGAGCGGCCATGGGGGGCGGGGGCACAAGGGTCATCATTTGTCTGGGTCAACGCATCCCAGTAAAAAATATTCCATTTGCTATTTCCAATCAAGAAATTTAAAAGGAACCTCTCGTATTGCTGATGAATGAGAGGCCAAGCCTGGGAAGATTAGCCTGTTGCAATGACTTCCCAACAGCAACTTCTCCCCACCAGTATTTCCAAGCTAGTTTACCACTGGCACTGTGCAAATACAGGGCAAAGGAGGGTGCCATTCATTCTATAAGGGCTACAACTGCCATGTGAATCGGCATCCCGAAGCTTGGTAGAGTGAGGGCAGGTCACAGTTTTCCCTCTCAAGAAGCCTGGTCTTTAGCTGAGCCTAAGGGCTCAGCTACTTGCAAAATGAAAGTTCTTTAGAGTTCTGGACAGCAGCCTAGGTGCCTTTGGTGTCCGGTCTCTTGGGAGTGCTGGCCCGGAGCTTCTTGATAGCAGCCAAATGAAGGGGCAGACAAGGTATAAGGAATTATTTTTAAGAGAGGAAGCTATTTTCCCTTCTAAGAAGTTGGGTTGCCTCAGGCTCTGCAAACTCTGAAATCCTCTCCTGTTGCCTCAGACAAATGGACCTCCATTTCCCATCCTTCCCCCCAGGGAACCTGCAAAAACCCCAACCCCTAGAGCCAAGCCTAATTTAGGCTGCTTCTCTTCTTGTATCTCAATGAAAAGAATGTATTCTTTGTGATGAGATTATGTCCATTTCCTTTGGAGGAAAAAAAAAAAAAGAACCGACATTCAAAAGCACCTGTAACTCCGGAAGTCACAAGCTTAAGAGAGGAAAAGGGAGAAACAAAAATCCTATCATTCCAGAGCTCAAGACTTATGGCAGTGTCTGTGAGAGAAGCCTATTTTGTCTTCTGTTTGCAACTGCAACTGGATTCATTTGATCACTCCATTAAGGGGATTAGCATTTTTGTCTTCAACCCAAGCTATGGCGGGCCAGGTTAAAAGGCCCCCATCTGGTTACAATGCCAAAGTCCACAGCAGTAGGCGGTGAGATACATGCTACTTGATCCTCTCTAAGGACAGCTAGCTGGGACAAATAGATTATAGTCATCTGATGTAATGGTGGCAGCTATGCCAAGACAGAATGGAGTGGGGGTGGGGAGGATCTGTACCATAATTTCACATTGCTAACAGCAAACAGGCTCCCTGCCCCCACAGGGGAGGCAGTGCAGACCTGGCTGTTCATCAGGGGTTCATCATTCACTGGGTGGTGAGGTGGCAGGGGGTGCTAAGGGTTCAGCCTGTGTCAAGGATGCATGCTCTCTATATAATCACTAACTTGGCAACTGGAATAGGCACAAAATTACAGCATCCTGAACCCTGCATGGGTCACAAGAAGAAACCCCGAAAGCAAAAACTGGAGCACAGCAGCAGCAGCAGCAGCGGCCTCCTGGGGCAGATGTACTTGAGCTGAATGTGGCCACAGATGGCAGGAGACGGAAGTGGGAAAGCAAAGGCGAAAACTCATAGGAGCTTTCCTTGGCCCAAAAGATTTTCAAGTGAAACAGCAACCCCCACCCCCCAATCCCTCTGCCCAACCCCAGATCCCCATTCACATGCTCAGGCCCCGTGCCCCCGCTCCAGCATTGGTGACGACTACTCAGCTAGGTTCCCTTTCACAGCAGTGGAGGAGTAGCTGGTGGGGAGACAGGCACCTTGCCCAGCCCTCTCCTTTGCCAGGTCGAGGCTGGAAGCCCCGTAGTGAATGGGCTGAGGCTGTAGGAGCTCAGGCCGGACCCTGGGCAGCTGAGGGATGCCATGGGTGATGCCCACAGGCTTGGCCTGGGGAAGAGGGCTGGGGCCGAAGCCTCCAGAACTGGAGGAGCAACTGGGCTCATTGGCAGGCAACAGCATATCTCGAGGCCTGGCCCTCGAACTCTGGGAGGCCTGTGGCTGGAGGTTGTAACAAGGGCCTATGGGGAGGGGTAGGTGCGAAGGCCGAGCTAGTTGAGGCCCAGATTCCCCAGGTGCCCTTGGCTCTGGCCCTGGTACTGAGAGCAATGCTGACATAGCCGCAGGAGGTACGCAGCAGGCTGCCTGCCCGTAAGGAGACTGGCTAGAAGGCCCATCCGATTGACTGCTACTTATCCAGGCAGGGCCCGTCCCCACTGGGAAAGGACAGGGAGCCCAGGCAGGCCAGTCATAGGCCCCTGGAGGTTCAGTATAGAGGGACAAGGGACTGTCTCGGCCCCATTCTTCCTCTTCCTCTTCATCCGAATCTTCCTGCTGAGCCTGAAGCTCATCAGACTCCATGTAGCCCGGGGCCAGGTGGGACTCGGACAGCTCCAGGTCCAGGGTCTCTGCCGTGTCAAGGGAGCGGCTCCTCCTGTTGAGGGCCATGGCGGCAGGTGGAGGCCGCGGGTGCATGCCAGGCAGTCCCAAGTATCGAGGAAGACTGCTCACCCCCCAGGGCAGGCCTTGGTAGAATCGGCTGCGGTAGTTGTTCAAAGAGTGTTTCTGGTAGTAGCCCAGCTCAAATGCTTCCAAGGAGGCCGCCAGGTCCTCATCATTGTGGAATTCCGGATTCTCTTCACATTTGCCTTCCCCATCCCGTTCCACATCAGCAATGTCGAAGGTCACCATGGGGGGCAGCTCAGGGAGGTTTTGAGTGAAAGATGAGTCGGAGTCGGAGCTACAGGACATGCTAGAGAAAAGGTTGCCATTGCTGGTGAACTCCACAAGGGCTTGCGAGAAGCTCACGGTGGCATTCCCTTCCTTCTCGACCTCCTCTTCCTCTGGCTCTTCAGGGGGTGAGTAAGTAGGGTAGGCCCTCCTGGGAGACCCTCCAAAATTTGCTTCTTGCATGTCTGGCTCAAACATAGCATCGCTCTGGAAGAGCTGCATCAAACAGGTACTTTGATCTTTCTTGGAGCAGGTTCCCTCGAAACGCTTCTCCAGAGGACGGAAGTCCCTCCAGTCCGGCTCGCTGCCCGCTGTGGCAGGGAAAGCTGATGTGGTTCCTCGGTGCGAAGTCTGAGAGGTCCCTGATTTTCCTGTCACCAGGCCCATCACCGATGGGCCTAGGGGTCTCCTCTGATACTCTATGATGGGCTTCTCTGGCCATGCCTGGACCTCTCGGATTTGAGCCTCTCGAGCACGAGCCTCTCTGGCCTTGGCCTCCCTAGCATAGGCCTCTCGGGCACAAGCCTCCCTGGCACAGGCCTCTCGGGCACAAGCCTCCCTGGCACAGGCCTCTCGGGCACAAGCCTCCCTGGCACAAGCCTCCCTGACATAAGCCTCTCGGCCTCGGGCCTCTCTGATGTGAGCTTCCTGGGGGTGGGCCTCTCGGGCGTGAGCATCCCTGGCATGAGCTTCTTTTGTATAGGCCTCCCTGGTGTGAGCCTCTCGGGCGCGTGCCTCTCGGGCCTCTCGGGCCTCCAGCTGCTCCCGCCGAAGTTCCCAATACAACAACTGCTTCTGGATGGTCACCAGCCGTTCTTCTTCTGTCTCCATGGCCCCAGGTGGTCGAGAGGAAGAAAAGGGCTGAAGGTTCAAGAAAGGGTCAAATATCTCCGAGCTGCGACCATGGAGGTCATAAAGGCAGTCATCCCCGGGTGGGGACTCCTCAAGACTGTCATCTGGCTCGTAGAATTCATAGAGGGCATCTCCGCTGTAGCTGTCTCGGGGCAGGCAATCCCTGCGGACGAGCCCCAGGGCCTCCCCGGAATCATCCTCAAATCCGGGTGTGGTGGAGTCATAATAGCCTTCATCACTGTTGGGGGCAGACTCCTGCTGGTCACTCTGAGGAGTCAAAAGGTCTCCAGGAGCCAGGCCAGGGTAAGACCGAACTGGGTCGAAGAGCACATAGCCCTGGTGGCCTGGTGAAGTGGTGGGCTGATAGCCCACATTCATATTGGGTCTTGGGTACATCTGACCACTTGCCCACAGATATTCTAAGTCATCATCTTCTTCTACCTTGGCTTCCTCTTCTTCCTCCTCTAATTCTACCTCCTCATCGTCTTCTTCTTCCTCTTCCTCATCATCATCATCTGGCAAGGCCATCTCTTCCCCACCTCCTTGGTAGGTGACCATGCAGGAACTTCGCTTGGTCCCATCTCGGTTGGCCCTCTGGCCTCCAGAGGCCATGCTGTCTGTCATACTGTCCATGTCCTGCTCTGCTATGATATCACCGCATCCTGTCAGTGAGTCAAAACTTTTCAGGGAGGTGACATCTCCAAACAGGATGCTCAGTTGGTCCCCCACAGGGCCATTGGGTAGATTTGCCTCTCCAGCCACCACCTTCTCCCCTGTTTCTGGGCTCTGGGGCTCTTCTGGGCCACTGGCTTCAGGGGCAGGACTGGGCTGCAGGAGTGCTGAGGCACAGCCACCCACGGGTTTTTCTGGATCTTCACAGGCTGTCTTCTCAGCGGCTGCTACAGAAGGCTCTGAGGCTAAAGACACATTTGGCCCAGGGACCTCTTGGGGTTTGGCATTTTCCTTTCTCAGGTCTGGAAGGGTTTCCTCAGCGTGGGATGGGAGGACTGAGCTGACATGCTCACGAGGCCTGGCTCTGGCCTCCTCAGGCCCCTTGGCCCCTGGCTCCCTTTGCTCAGCACCAGAAACCTTATTCTTCCGGTGACGGCGAATACTGCTGAAAAAACCTTTCAGGCCTTTCTTTGGCTTGGGCACAGAGGAAACCTTCTCGGCCCCAGCTTTGTCTACGGCTGCCACCACAGACGTCTTGTGCTTGGACCCTGTCTCCAAAGCCCCATGGGCGCTCTGGGAACTGGGAAGCTGGCAGGGCGACTCGGGCAAAGGTAAGGAAAGGCCGGGTCCTTCACCGACAATGTCTTCATGGCTACGGGCCGCTTCGCTCAGGCCATCGTGGGTCTTGCTCTTGCTAAGCCCCTTCTTGGAGCTGCCTTTCCCAGAACTTTTGCTCCGTCCCCCTCCAAAGAAACTAGGCAGGGTACAGATGCCCTTCTTGCCACCAAAGAGTTTCATGGCAGTTTTCTTCAGCCTACCTGGGCCAGACGAGGGCGGCTCGGATGCTGGCCCTTCTGTCGTCTCAGCGGCCTTGTTCTGGGCTCCTTTCTCTGCCCCTTGTTCCTGGGTATCCACAGAGGCTGCTGCTCCCTTGGCCTGAGCAGCTTCATCTTTTTGGGTCTCCATGGTGATGGGGACAACTCAGGTGTGTTCAGCTGGAAATGCAGCGCTCTGACTTCTGGGCACTATTATGACGTCATCAGTCAGGAAGCATCACAGTGGGTCTGGAGGAGATGAGAGAGAGAAAGGCAGAGAGAGAGCACTGGTGAGCGAGCAGCCAGGCAGGGTTTGTTTTCACAGGTGTCTGTGGTTTCAGGCTTCAGTGGAACCAGAGAGAAAGAGAAAATGTAGGGAAAACCTTAATGGAGTCCATATGCTTGGCTTGCTGGGCCAGCCTCCTCTGGGGCCCAAGACAGCGAAACCCTACACTGAGCTACAGGCTGCTGTCAACCCTACCCCCCACGCACTGGGCAGGGCGAACTGCAGATGTGAGAACTGCCCAGTGGTGCTATTGGCTGAGGGAGGGGTTACCAGAAGGGGGAGGTAAGGGGGAGGTTAGGGAGAGGCAGGAAAGGCAGGAGGGAGGTCAGCTCTGACGACAGAGGAGTTTTCAAAAGCATCTAGCAAAATAGCCCCTGGAGTCCTCACTCAGCTCTGCAGGATTCAGGCCTCGAGTTCACTTCAACTGGGGTTGTCCCTGACAGTTTGCCCAGGGAAGGAGAGTGTTTTCCGGAAAAGACACCCCAAATTTCTCCTCCTCTCCACAGGCTCCCTAAACTGCCAGCCAGCCCATGCTCTAGGACCTTCAGAAACCCAGAGTAGCATCCTCACAGATCCACATTCTAGAGCTGCAATTCAGGATCTGTTGTGAGTGCTGTGTGGTGGCCTTGCAGCAAGGAACTCTCTGGGTTTCATATCCTCCGTTTAAGATGCCTAGCAAAGCCTCCCCGAGGTGGTTATGTGGGGGTGGGGGACATCTAGGTCAAACTCTCGAGTGTCCTGCTGGGAAGAGATTTGAAAGTGGCCCTTGGCCACTGGAACTCCCAAGTTCTACTTCAGAACTGTGAGACAGACTATTTCTTTTCCACTCCCCTCATTATTTTGGCCCCCATCTATAGAGGGAACTCCTCAAAGGCGCATCTCCATATGATTCATGTTCTTGGCCTGGGAGTGAGGCTCTGACCATGTATTTAAATAAATAAACCTGGTGCGCGAGGCACACCCTTCTGGTCCTGGCTCACAATCCTCCAAACATCCAAATGCCACAGACATGGAATAAAAAGAAGTGGGGGGAAAAAAAAAGCTACCACGCATCCCTAGCTATAATGCAGGCCTCCCCTCTCCCAAAGCTGATGTATTTATTCCAGTTAGTACAGCTAGGCATGGGCTGGATCAGTGAGCAGCCTGCTAAAACCTAGTGACCTGTCCCTGGAAAGTCCCTACCTCTATGTCCTTTCCCTGTAGAGTAGCCACTAGTAGGCAGGGAGTTAGGATAAGGGGAGGCAGAGCAGCTGCTGGGGGCAGAGAGAGAGAGGTAGGATTGCTGTTGTCCCAGCAGCAGCTGGCCAGCACATCAGCCCTGGGATTGCTTGCCACCACAATAAAAGTCATGCATTCACCTCCAGTGACAGACAATGGAGCAGCAAGGCGGGTGGCGGGGAGAGGCTGACAGTGACACTCTGGCCTCTGACCTTCTTAGAGGAACCCTCCTGGAGCCCTAGTCCTGTTTGGCAAACATTAATTTTGCACACTGAGCCTTGCTTAGCTTGGTATTTGAAGCATCAGTGTGGTGCACGCTTCCATCAGGAGCACTCTTCGGAACTGAATATTTAACTTGGAGGAAGATAATGGCTGGTTATCCAGAAAATAAAAGGGGAAAAAACCCTCATCTGATCCCTTCTCTGCAGAGATTTGTATTGCCATCTGCTCAGGTTAGGGTACTTTCCCTGTGTGACATGTTTTTATGTGACCTTGTTCCAGCTTAGCCCTGCAAATGGTAGCCTCAATTAATAGTGCCTCCCCCACCCCACAAATATACAATCGTACACACCCTCCCCCCTCCGAGTCCTGACCCTGGGTCTGATGGGAATAGAGGCCCTATCATGTATTTGAACACCCCCCCCCAACTTTCCAAGGCACAGATGTTTCTGTCCCAGCCCTGAAATTACTGACAGTATTGTCATCACAGTGTGTGCATGACAGAGATGGGGTGGCAGCAGGGCCGTTGTTTGTGAAACTGCATTCCCCTCTGTGGAATTCATGAGACAAACATCTCCTAACATTTGGTAAGTGACAGACACTGAGCACAGTGATGTGAGGGTGAGACAAGAAGACAGAATCCCTTGTAGCCCTTGCTTTTGGGAAGCTCCTAGACTAAGTGGGAGAGATATGAAACAATCAGAAAGCACGTGATGCAGGCCTCAAAGAAGCCCTTCCCCATTACTGCTTTAGCTTTGGTGGAAGGTCGACATTCTTCATACCTTGTTATCATATCCTGGGGAAAATCTGAAAGGCAAAAGACATCCCCTCGGGCTCAGAAAAGCCACCTTGAAAAGGAAGCATTCAATCTGACTTTTGTCAGACAGGAGTGAGTAGCAATGGCAGTGATCTAGGGACAGGGAAGGGTGACACTAGCAGCTATGAATTGGCATCAAGGAAGACGGAGGGAGAAGTGAAAAGTCATATGGGCCTAGATTTCCTCATGAATCGAAGGCTGCACTGTCCCTCTGGGCCTTCTGTTGCCCTCACCCCTGTGCTCCCTTGGGGTAGAAGCCTACCCACTGCTCTCTCTATTGTCCCCTTCCCTGCCACAGGCATCTGCAGTCTGTTGTGGAAGGGGCCATGGGCCACACGTGGGGGTCCAGGCCATGGCAGAGGACCCAGAACTGGCAAGGCACTCCTCTATGGAAATCAAAACAGCTCTTTTATCTATTGCCGTCTGCCCGGTCCACTGCAGCGGTCCGTGATTCAGATGGGATAATGGACACCAGAGCACTTTGTAAACTGCAGAGCATGATGCAAATGAGAAAGATTGGCCTTACTGTTATCATTACCGCCTTCCTGGGCGGGTCCCAGTTACTTGGGAAGTAGCAGACCGTGTGTCCCAGGCTGCTCATTTGGGAGAGCCACTTCCTGTGGGGAGCCTGAGGGACCAGCAGTCTTGGCCCACACTGAGGGGAGCCAGGTGTGAGGGGATGTTAAAGACACGTGTGTGCATTTATACAAGTCCTCTCCTGAGGGCAGTTTAGATCAGCCTCTGATCGTGTGGGGCAGTTGTAAATGAGGCAGGGTTGTGTCCTGGGACTGCGATTCTCTCCCTCTAGCTTCAGGCCTTCTTCTTAATGAGGCCCCGGGTCATCTTTGCTGGTCAGAACCACCCTGGAAATGGGTGCCCGGTCCCACCTCCCTGCCTAGCACTGCCCAGGGCCATGTATGCCCCAGAGCAACTCACCGCATCTCTGTGGGCTTTCCCCCAAGATAACAGCATAGTAGAGGGTAGTGATGACAGGTACCTGGTAGCCCCTGACCCAGCCAGCCCCACTGAGCCACTGTTGGCCCAGGCCCCTTGTCTCCTTCCCTCGCTACCCTTCCAGGTCTCAGTGCTGTCCTTCCCCAGTGGACTATGCTGCCTTTACTTGAGGCCACAGAATTCATTGGCCAGGAGAGCCAAGTGTGGCAGAAGGCAAAGGGGACAAGAAGGGGGAGACTTTGTAGCTCTCCCAGCTTGGGACTGCCTCCCATCACACTTCCTGCCAAGAAAGCGGTCCTGCCAAACATAGCACCCTGCAGCCCTTCCGAGTCTCGACCTGGGTGCTGTCCAAGCATCAGGTGGACCTGATGCATTAAGCAGGGTCATCAAACTCATTTTCACCAGGGGCTGAATCAGCCTTGCCTCGCCTCGTGGTTGCCTTCAAAGGGCAGAGTGTAACTTTTAGGACTATGTAAATGTAACTACTCCTTAACTAGGGGCAAGGAGCTCCTAGCTGCAGCCAGGGTAGAAACAAGGTGCCTGCTGATAAAACAAGGTGGAGGGCGGGATTCTGCCTGCAGACCGTGTGTTTGCTACTTGTGTTCTAAGGTTAGTTTGTGGCCCCAGGCAAGGGCGGCTTGCAGCAGCCAACATGCCAGGGTGTGGGCTGTGGCCACCCTGCCCCCAGAGCCAGCTTCAATATATTCTGGGGCCAGTGGAATACTGGCTACTAGGACAGAGCTCGTTCCTTCCCCTTGCTCTCAAAACATAGGCAGGAGCCCAGCTGCGAACCTGCCTCAGGGACCCTTCTTGGAGACAACAAAATAGGTACAGCCTGAGCCTTGCATGGCCCAACATCCTGGGGCCAGCTCAGCCAATGTAGAGAAGGCTGTTGAGGGAAGGAGTGTGAATTTACGTGGTAGCTCCAGAGGCACGCCCTCAACCAGCCACAGCTCCTCAGAACTCCTCCAAGCAGTTTTCCTGGGGGCAAGCTGACTCTGAGTCCATCCTGCCATTGTGTATGGAGTGGGCTGAGGAAGGAATGGTGAGGATAGGGAGCCCCCTCACTGCTCTCCACCCTTGAGAGTCAGCCAGTTCTGCACTACAAACGGCTCTGCCCACCTGAGGGAAATCAGCAAGTTCATTCAGTTTGCTCAACGGAAAAAAATGAGGCTATTGAGATGCCTACCTCTGAAACCTATTGTAAAGAACAAAACCAATGCACAGAAAGTACCAAATACAATGCATTAGATAGCAGAGGCTCAAAAACACAGCCAAAAATTACTTAAATATTTTATTCAAACTATAGTTGAACAATTTCTAGCAGCGAAACTACTTCAGTCAGGGTTGAGTAGGGTGCTTTCTGGGGCTCTGTGGATAACTTATCAAACCCCTTTGGACCTTAGTTTCCCCAGATGGTAAAGGAGGGCAGCTGTGTAGGTATTTCACAGGAGGCCTTAGTTTCTGTTTTAGCTGAACTTTGATATTCAGGGACGAAAAAGTTGCCTTGAGTCAACTACTGGCTAACAGCTCTGGATTATCTAGGAATTTCAACCAGCCAGATTCTTTAGCCAGGCCAGAAAGATCAACAATTCAACCTCAGCTACAAGTACTAATATCAAAAGAAAGTGAAAATTAACAGACATCCTTCACCCAAGTCAGGGTTCTTACCAGTTTACAAAGCGCTCCCCACTCCCTCACCCACCATTGGCCCTTCTCAGAAATTGCCCCGGTGGGGGATGGTCACTCCTGGTCACAGAGAAGGAAGCTGCGGAGGCTTGGGAAAAGATCTGCGTAAGGTCACACAGTGGGCTAGTGACAGAGCCATAGCAGCCCCCAGGCTTCCTGAATTCCAAGTCTATGACATTCTGCTGCACTGCGCCGGCCCCTAGTCACGAGAGGAACACCGAGAACAAGGACCCTGCGGGTGCCCGGCACACATGGGCCTTCGTCTCCTCCTCCCATCTCACCCCTGCCCTGGCCCAGCTGAACCTTCTCAGGGGTACTTCCAGTTGTCACCGGCTGCCACTGTTTTGGCCCCATCTAGCACATTCCAAAAAGCCTGCTGACCAGAATCCAAGGGCTGCCAACCTAGGCTGTGGCTGCTGCCCTCATCAGCAACACCCGCCCTAACTCCCAAGGCATGGAACATGTTGCTCTCCTCTCATTTCCCTTGGGAGGTGAGTTGGAGGGGCCAAAAAAAAAAAAGAGAAAAGGTTCAAACAGAAACCTGCCAACTGGGACAAAGATGCAAAATTGGAGCTATTGTTTGAAGAAAATGACCCATGACGAGACCAGAAACTTAATCAACCACTCCAGAAGCCCATAGCAAGGTCCGGTCTCAAAGCCATTTGTTCAGGGACTAAAGAAAGGGCTGCCCAGCTTGGTACCTTTTGGTGGTCACAAGCTATCCCTGCGATCACCCGTCACTAATTTTCATACTTCCTGTCAAGGGGCATGTCCTCCCAAGAGGGCATCCCACCAACTCTAGAGGCAGCAGAGACCCCCATAGGGCCCTCTCTCCCCTGCTCCCACTTCCTCCACCCCCAGATGCCTGTCAGCTGAGTTGATGACATACTCAGCCTGTGGTAATTCATTCTGACAAGCCTCAGTCTGTCCATTCATCTCATTGGGATGGACCCTCCTTTATCTTACACTCACTACATCTAGCATAGAACAGAAGCTCAAACGACGTCGGTTCCACTGAATTCCAAAGCAGCTGAAGTTCATCAGCCCAGAACTAAAATGCCAGCTTTACCCCTCACGGGCTGTAAGGTTTGACAAGATGGCCTAACCTCTCTTGACACTCAAATGCCTTCTCTGTAAAATGAAGAAAATGGTACCTGCCATGTAGGATTGTGGGCAGGATTCTAGATGATACATGTGAAGGGTGCTCTGGCTGGTGTAGCTCAGTGGCTTGAGCGTGGGCTGTGAACCAAACAATTGTGGTTCGATTCCCAGTCAGGGCATAGGCCTGGGTGGTGGGCCAGGTCCCCAGTAGGGGTTCATGAGAGAGACAACCACACATGGATATTTCTCTTCCTCACTTTCTCCCTGCCTTCCCCTCTCTCTAAAAATAAATAAATAAAATCTTTAAAAAAATGTAAAGCGCAGCTTGCTGACTGGGTACAGAGCAGATGTTTAAGAAAGGACCCTTGTGATGGGGCCTCTCACAGCCACTTCTCCGTCGCAGCTCCTCAGCTGCTACCCTGTGTCCTCCAAAGATGACACAAACCTCTTAGCTGAACTCCCTCTGGTCCCCCCTCACCATGCTGCAAAGAGGACACCCCACCCCCCCTGCCCATCTCCTTCCATCTCAACCATCCTGCATGCCCTTGCCAGATATTCTCACAACCCTGATTTCAGCGTACCCCTCTCCCACTTACCAAATTATTCCACGTTGGGAGGGCCAATCCCCTTCGTCCAACCTTCAGCACTTGCTCTCTCTGCAGGTCTCACTCCAGGACTCCTAGCCTCACTCCTCCTCCTTAGCCCCGGCCCCCAATACACAGGGGCCTCTCCAGTCTGAGAAAATATGGTCATCTGCACACCACCTCTCCCAAGAAATGGGCTTTCCCGGGGACTCTTCTGCCCAGCTGGTCTGGAACAACAGGAACTCTTAGGGCCACTGACTTGCCACTCCCCTCTCAGGCTCCTGAGCCTCCTTAGAGAGGAATGTATTTGAGATGGATTCCATGCCTGCACAGTAAAGCTTCCGCTGTGTCTGTCGGTACTAACACAGCAAGGGTGAGAACGCAGCCAGGAGACAGCCGTCCCCCGCCACCGCCCACCCCAGCTCAGATGAAGAACAAGAGGTCAGTTAACCTCAGGGAAACAGATGTGATGAGGCAGCCGAGGGAAGCCTGCAGAGGGAAAAATCCTCTGAGTGAACAATGCAGGTCCCTGACTTTCCTATGTATTGGCTCCCATATATAAACCATAACCTATGCGAGAGGCCAGCTAAGGAAACTGAAGCTTAGGAGGGGATCAGGACTGGTGTGCTTAGAAGAAGAAGCCTTGGATTGGGGGCCAGGAACTTTGTGCTTTTGTGTAAATTGGGCAAATCCCGTCTTTGTTCTGGGCCTCAGTTTCCCCATCTACAAATGAGAAATGGTATCAGGGGGCCCACTTGTGACAAGTTTAGTGAGAAGCTGCAGGAAGGGTAGTCCTGTGCCCACATTTCTAGTGCCTGCTGAGTCATGAGGCATGGTGGGGGCATGTGATTTGGGAGGCGCTAGACTTCTCTGGGAGGCCTGCATCCCTGGCTCATTGAGCCCAGTCCACCATTGCAGGACTGAGATGCACTGCGGCCCGACCTCACTCCTCAAGCCTGCATCCCATGACTCTGCCCAACATTTTACTCTTTGAAAATGCCCTAGGCATAGCCTGTGAGTATCTTTGCTTTGACCAGAGAGGAGGGGTACCACAACAGGCCCGCTGCAGCCCTCTTTCCCTGGGAAAAGCTGCAGCCCGAGGAGCCCTAGCTGGAGAAGGGAGTGAGGATCTGCTTGGAAGGCAAGCAGGGGGGAAAAATACTGCAGGCAATGAAAGCAATAGAGACTCTACAACAAGAAATGCAGATCAAATGGTTGCAAAGAACCCCACAGCATCAGCATGTCTGCCTCTAACTCTCCTAAGACCCCTTGAGCCACTTTCTCCATTGTCTGTGTTTTCTCCTAACCCTGGAAGGGCGGTGCGGGGAGCGGTACCCCCTCGTTCAGCTGGCACCTGCACCTCTGCAGTGGTTCTGGTTTCCCTCCCTGCCTTGCCGGAGATATACTTGCACATACACAGGTTTGCAAAATAAGACCGAGGGCAGGAGAGGAAAGGCTCTGTGATTATTTAATTCAGAGGACAGAAGTTAGAGGTTGGAGAGGTAGTTTAACACCCATGGAATGTCCAATGGGTTGTTAAGAAGAGCAATGGTGGCCAGCTGCTCTCAACTCCACCCCCAACACATACACATACACATACAGTTTAAGTACAGCATGAGAGACTCATATCAGCTCTGAGAAAGAACTTCCTGACAGCGATGTGGGTGAAATGATACAGGAAGCCTACGAAATGCCACCTTTGTGAGCTTTACCTTTATCACCTATTTTATCTGCGTGGACAGGATTCCAAGCAGGGGAACTTATGGAATAATGCTGGGAACGCCCTCTTCTAGCCTCAAGGAGCCTGTCTGTAAGTGAGGGGGTTGGAGGCCCATTCTTCCTCTTTGGTTTTGTAAGCAAATCAGTGACCTGCCAGGCATGCTGCTTATTCCTCTCATTCCCCTAGATGAGGGAAACAGAACTGCGTTCCTGTCCGCACCCACCCCCACACTTTCCAAGAATGTAAACGTAATAGTTCTTGAGGAATTTTTCACAGCTCCACCATGCTAGGAGACAATCATTAGACTCCCAGCATCTTCCACCTATCTCCCTTCCTTCTGAAACTTGCAGCCCCTGACAGGCCGCCGACCAAGATCGAGAAGCACAAAAGAATCATATTAGGGTAGGAGGGACTCCAGGAGGGGGGGGTCCCCAAATTCACCCAGCACCTCTTCACTCTTGAGGAATGGATGTGGTGAGATGAAGAGTTGGTTCATGAGATGCATATGGAATGAAGGCCACTGGACCCAGTGGGATACAGTGGAAAAAGCTACTGCACAAGAGGCAGCAGCCTGTCCCCTGACCTTTAGCGACTCCCTGTTGCTTTCCAGGGCTCAGGATTCCTGTCCCTAAGCACAGAAGTCCAAACTGATGCTCCCTGCAGGTCTGTGCAGCTGGAAGGAAGGGGATCAGCAGAGGCCTGGGGGGCAGCTACCTTCCACCACAATGGTATGTAGGCTCCACACTCTCTCCTTCCCTCTCCCTAACCCCAACAAGGCAGAAGGGAGGCTGGCATGGTATGGTTTCCCTCTAGAGATAGCCTACCCCGCAGCCCTACTTCCAGGTCCAAACGTGGCCTCTTACCTGCTGGACTTAGAGCATGCTTCTCCTCTCTCCTAAGACCCCACTCTAACACCCTTGCTAACATTCCAAGTTCTTGCGGCGTATTTATGCGCACGCACGCGTGCACACACACATACACACACAAACTAAAACCTCCTCATTCCCATTCTTCAATGGCACCTTCCCTATGACCTTATCCCCATTCCACAGTCTGGCATTTGGGAGCCACCCCCCCCCCCCGCCTCCCCGCACTGGGCACCCACCACTTCAGAGCCACAACCAGAAAATAACTCACCTCACTCAACCAGCCTGCCTGCTGCTCACTCCCATTCCGAATTTTGCTTTGACCTTTACCCTTTCTTTGCCTACCAAACCCCTCTACTTTCTGAAAGCTTCCCAGGACGAGCCCCTGACATAGAGAAATCTGCCATTTCTCTGGTTTGCCTCTAGGCTCACAAATCAGCAACCAAAGGTTATGTGTGTATTCTGGGGTCTCGGCAGTTCAGGTACTGAGCTTGCTTTTGAAGGGAGATGCCGTAATTGAATTTTTTCTAGTTTCAACCCATCCCCCTCCCTCCATCCTCATTAGGCATTGTCTATAAATACCTGGGGCCTTGAGTATCATTTCTCTAATCACTTTTGCATGGATCTGGACAAGTGCAAGTTGGAGAGGTAAAGGTCTTCTTGAAAGCTCTACAAAGAAAGCCAGCGCTTCTGCAGCATTCCTTAACTGCTATGCATTGCTAAGCTTTGAGGGGGTTGGGCCTGAGTTCCAGGGTTTGTTTACCCTTCTGAGGGGCTCTGAGAGAACTCAGACATCCGTGATATCAGGGAGACAATGTGGCAGGGAAACCTAAGTACAGTTGGCCTCCTATTATACTATAAGCCCCAAATACCCAAGGGACTCAGGCAGCTTGGAAGAGTTCTGAGAAAGAGGTCATCAGGGGTTGCAAGAGACAGGCAGGAAAGGCACTGAAAAGGGCCCAAGGCAGGGGGCCAGAGAGGAAAGAGAACCTGGACATGTAGGGAGAGTGGGTTTGGGTGGGGGGAGGGGAGTTAGTTAGTTAGGGTGGGTATGTTAGGTGGCTGTTGGTTTGAGGCAGGGAAGAGGGCTGGTCCAGCCCTGGGCTGGAGATGCCCAGCTGCCAAGTTGGGGGATTTGCATTGGCACCAGTCAAGGTGGGAGGCGGTGAGTGTAGTATGGGATCTGCAGTACTTGCTGGTGTCACAAAAGTCCCCAGCTAGCCTTCCTGGCAAGTGAGGGATGTACTGGGTCTCACTGTCTCCTCTCAAATGGTTCACCACCCTCAGAGGTTGGTCAAAGGTCCATGAAGGGCCTGCCAAGCTCCTGGGTTGCTCACTCTGTCCTGATCCTCAGAAAGGCCTAGACTCCATTGCCAGAGGCACACAACCGCGCAGTGACTGAGCGGTGGGCGGGGCCGAATGAGAGGAGCCGCACTGGGGGGAGGGGGCTCTACTGGAATCCCCAGGTGTGGGGTGGGCATTCCAACAACACAGTACCCTTCACCCTGCCCATACCCACGTGGAGGCAGCAGGAGGGCAGAGCCGCAGAGGGAGGTGTTTGTGTGCGGGACAAAGCTTGCTTTGACCTCGAGGCCCAGGCCAAGAAGAGCCTGGCCAAAAAGGAGGCCTACTGTGCGGGGCCAGTCCAGGTGCCTACCGGGTGCCTGGTCTGTGGCGTGCCTGGTGGGCACAGACCTCACGGCCAGGGAGGCTAGTCAAAGTCGGGTGGCCACCAGTGTCATAAATGTCTGCAGCAGACAATGACAGCGGCCCGGTGGGCCGGGTATTTTAAGTAACTGCGAACTTGGAGGGTTTGTCTGCTTCTCTAGCTCTCTCACAACACTCAGACGGTGCTTCCCCTACTACAGTAATTGCTCCCTCGGCTTCTGACACAGAAACCCCCTCCCAGCGTCGTGGTTATCACTATTTTTAAACGGGAGGCTGGAGAGAAAAACGCGGCCAGTGCACTACGAGGGGAGAGGAGGCTCGGTGAGGGGGGAGACAAAGCGGCCTTGCAGTTCTAAGCCAAGGACTAGCTTGAGCTGCAGCTGTAAGCCCAAGGTCCAGCAAGAGAGACACCCCTGCCAGTCCGCGGGGGCGGGTGCCAGACGAGCCCGGAGGCCCAGGAGTAGGGGGCGCGGCTGGTTGGAGCCGCAAAGCCGAGGTTCGGAAGGGAAGTGGGCAGTTTACAGGCCCAAGTGTGCTCCCTGGGAGGAGGCAAACAGTGTAGATTAGATACCCCAATCCGTCCGACCTAGGCCACTGCGTTGGCTTCGTCCGCAGAGGAGAGAGGCAGGAGATGCGCAGAGGAGGGGAGGGGCAGCTGCCGAGCTGCTGGGTGAGCGATACCCGCGTAACATAGCTGCTCCAGCTAATGTGCTACAACAAAGCTGCAGAGCTCCCGGCCTACAAATGCACCGCTGGGGGTGCTGGCTGGCAGCTCCCCTCTTGGGACCGCGCAGCAGCACGTGCGGGCCTCATCCCCGCCTCCCCGAGAGCCCGGAGGCATGGCCCAGGGTAGCCCGCCCGCCTGCCCGCCCTCTTCCCCCACCCCACCCCCCAGCCTCGGTGGCCCGCGACCAGGGGACTCTGCTCTGGCCCTCACCGGACAGTCCTCGAAGCAGCTTCCAAAGGGGAGCGGAGAGCGGCCTGGACCCTGACCGGACCAGCCCTAGAGCTCCTCTCCAGGCGGCCAGAACTGAGCACGCGGGACTGCACCGGACCGCGGGCAGGCGGAGCCTCCAGGCTGCCCCCAAAGCTTACCCGGCCCGGTTCGTTATCCAGTCCGGTTATTGTCTGCTTCGCCGCCCTGGCCGAGGCTTGGAGCCTCGGCTGCTGTGGCTGAGGGCACCGCCACCGCTGCCTCTGCCGCCGCCGCGGCTCCAGTCACCTCCTGCACTGGCTCCCCTTCCCCAGGCTCTGGGCAGCTCCCCCATACCCCCGCACCCCCCCGCCAAAACTCCACGACCGTAGGGTGGGGCGTCCGCGCTCTGATTGACAGGCGTGTGGCCCAATCGCCACGGCGGGGAGGCGTGCCCGAACCGCCCTCTGTTTTCCTCCGAGTGTATCTCTTTAAATGCAAATAAGCCTGAGAGCGGTGTTGGCAGGGGGCGGAGAGGGTGCTGAACCCCTCTCAGGAACTCCTTACTCCCTCCCCCAAGCCGGGCGGGCGGCTGTATGGGGACACCGCGAGCTTGAGGGGTCGGTCCCGCCCCGGTGGGGCTTGCAGGAGCCCTGGTTTCGGTTTTGCATTAGTCCCATTTCCGTGGTCGCCATGCAATCGCGCTGTGGTGCCCTGGCCGCCACCTGGCAGTTTATTCCAAAGCGCCAGACGGGCGGAGAGAGGCGGGGCGGAGTAGTTGGGGAGCGGGGGTGACTGCAGAGCCTTTCGGAAGCTTGCTGGGCCAGATCTTAGGCGTAGAGAAGGCCCCGCAGCCCGCTCCCCCAAGCCGCTCAGAGGAAGGACTCACCTGCCAGGAAAGCCAATTGCAGCGCTCGCGCCCCAGCTTCGTCCGTCTCTTGGGCACACCAGGGCCTTTAGGGACCATCTAGGCCAACTGCCACCCGTTACCAAGGGGTCTGCTGCTGCCTAGAGAAGGGGTGGCGCATTCCCAAGGTTACCCAGCCTGCCAGCGACAGGGGCAGATTTGGAATTCCAAACCCTGGGCTCCCGGTCCAGGGCTTTCACTTTTCTTCTCTGGAGAGACTTGTTTCCGTAGTTTGATCCACATCCAAATTTCCCAGCTTTCACGGAATTCGACGGGATTCCAAAAGTCTACAGAGGGCCCCTAAAGCTTTTAATGGTGACCCAGGCTTTGTGAAAAGTAGATACTGAGAAAAAATATCTTGTCTGTGTCCAGACTGGAGGTTTCAAGGCTGAGGGCGGACTCAGGAGGCCTGTATTAGTCTTGCCAACTGCAGTATCTCGGATGGGGGCGGGGGCAGCGTGAACTTGGGTCTCTAACTAGGCTGAGGGCATTAAGTGGCATTCGTGGCTGCCAGGGCCAGGTGAGCTGAGGCAACAAAGAATCTAGTTCTACCACTAACTAGTTCAAGAATATCCAGAAGGCCCAGCCATAAAACTATGTGAATGTCTAAAAACAAAGATTGAGGGGAGATGTGGGGGGGGGGGCGGCGGTGTGGGGAAGATTAGAGCACAATGCCTGTCATTTTTCCATTGTAGGAAGAGGATTCTCCACTGCTGTACTAGGTCCTTTCTGATTTGACAAGATCCAGCTGCTAAACTCGGAAAAGGAAGACTGCTGTCTCTGCATGGAGGGAGCACAGGAACTGACATGGATGCTAGGGCTGGGATCTGGCCCGTTCTGCCTTGTACTTGAAGTATGACCTTGACCAGTCCATTTTCCTCTCTGTGCCAGTCCAGCACTTCATCTCCACAAGAAGGGGATAAGACTGGTCAAGCTCCTTGATCTCTTCCAGCTCTGACAGTTCAACTCAATTCTTCCTATAATATCCATGATGTTCTATGACCTTCCATGACATTCTATACATCTCCAAAAATCATCAATTTGAATGGCAGACCTCCTGTTCTAGTCCCTGTTCTATTCTATGTAAATGGCAGAGAGAAAAGAGCTGCCACAAGCTGGCTCATTGTAGGACTTTGTTGGGCAAGTACATTTTCCTTCCTTGCCTCAGTTTCCCCCATTTGATTGGCTGGGCTATACTATTTCCCTGGAGCTGTGGTTTCTTGCTTTGCAAAGTCCTGCTTCTCAACTGTTGCACCTGATTTGGACGTGTCTTTTTTCCAGAGCCTCCTCTGTAGGCTTCCTCACTGCCTCGTGCCTCTGGTTGCTTCCCACCTATTGACATTCCTCCCAGAACCCTGATTTACTGAAGTAGACCCAACATTACAACTTGGGGAAGACAGTTTCCAAATCAGGAGCCCAGGGAAACACGGGTGCTGGACAGTGCCAGGAAGAGAGCAGGTGGGCAAGCAGTCGAGTGGCGGGCCTGAAATAACCCTGAGGTGAGGGGCGCTGGTGCACGCCCTTGTGACAGGAGCTAGTCCTCTGTGTTCTCTGCTCAGCTGCCAAATAGTCAGTCACACCAGTCAGCTTTGGGACTAACAGATAATGAACATTGGGTTGGGCCCAGAAGCAATAGGGCTTCAGGGGAAATAAAATGGACTTTGCCATGCTGATGGGGTCTCCCAACTGGGTGCCTGTCTTCTTGGTCCCGATAGTTTTCAGTCTCAGGAGAAGATTGTGTATGTGTGATGGGACGTAGGAGGGCGGGGAGGATGAGTGTGAGGGAAAGTGGTAGGAGAGGGAGGTCAGAGAGGACATGGGAGGCAGATGGTGTGTGGCTTTGTAAGTAATTTTAAAGACTTTAGATTTTGCAGGATTTTGAGCTAACTGGCATGCTCTTAGTGAAATGTTGCAGGGGTGTCCAACCTTTCTGTGTCTCTGAGACACACTGGAAGAAGGGTTGTCTTGGGCCACACATTAAATACAGAAACACTAACAAACACTGAGGAGTAAAAAAGTTTTAAGTAAATTCACGCTTTTGTGCTGGGCTGCATTCACAGCCATCCCAGGTCACATGCGGTCTGCGGTCTGCGGGCTGTGGGGTTGGACACCCCTGGAGGGGGCTGTAGCAGCGATGGAGGAAGAAGCGAGACCAGGAAGGAAGCTCCTATAGTTATACAGGTAACAGCTGATGGTAGCACAGACCAGGGTGGAGGCAGTGGAGGTGGCGATAAGCAGTTGAATTTTGGATATATTTGGCAGATAGAATTGACTCATTGCTGATGACACCAAGTGCCCACAAAAGCATAAGAGTGAGTGATTGGCAAAGTGAGACTAGAGCCAGGGAAGCTGGCCCTCCAAAAGCTGTGCAAGACCTGGGGTTTTATGAGAGATGGATTTACCAAGAGCGTATGTGAAAGATGTTGCCCAGAAGTTCAACAAGCTAGAAAAGCTTCCACTGGACATGGATCTGGGAAACCACTGGGGATGTGGCCAAGGCTGGTGGGAGGATGGCTGAGGGTGTCCATCAGATGGCAGTAGGGGGTCCGTGAGGAAAGAGAGATTATAGGTAGCCTCCTTGTTCTAGAAGTTTGACTACAAAGAGAAGGTAGTGAGAGGCGGCCAGGGCCCTGAGGTTTGGGTTTGCTTTTATTTATTATTAGAAGATTTTATTTATTTATTTTTAGAGAGGGGAAGGGAAAGGGAGAGAAACATCAATGTGTGGTTGCCTCTTGTGTACCCCTTATTGGGGACTCAGCCTACAACCCAGGCATGTGCTCTGACTGGGAATCGAACCGGTAACGCTTTGGTTCGCAGCTGGAACTCAATCCATGGAGGCACAACAGCCAGGGCTGGGTTTGTTTTTAGAAGATGGAAGGATGTGACCTTGTTTGTGTGCCAAGGGGGGAAAATCAATCAAGTTGAAGATACAGTAAGCAAGATAACTGATGGGTGGGAGGCCCTGGATAGGTGTGGGGGACAGGATCCAGAGCCCCCAGAGATGAGTTAGCCTTGGCCAGTAGGAGGGACTAAGACAAGAGGGAATAGGTGCACCGAAGTTTCTGGTTATGGGAAGTTAAAAGATGTTTTTTTTCCAAAGAGCTCTGCCTGCTCTGGGAGGTTGATAGCAAAGTCCCCAAAGGAGAGGCAGAGCAGTACTGGGGGAGTTTCAAGGAAACTTGCTTATATTGGACACAATTTGAAATAGTTACTACACAGAATGCGCAAGCTGATAAAGGCCTGGCTAGGGTACCTCCCCAGGAATGTACAGCATTCCTATTCGGTTACGTGAGATCCTAATTCCTAGCTATGTGACCTTGAGCAAGTTACATAACCTCTGTGCCTCTGTTTTCTTCATCTGAAAATTGTGCATGAGTAAAAGAAGGTTTATTGAATGAAATGAGTTAGTCCCTGCTTGGTGATGACTGAGCACAATGCCTAGCCCATTGTAAATGTTCAATGTACATGAACTCTTTAGATTTCTATCATAATTAATTATTTCAATTTCTTCTATGGTGTTCATTAACCCAGGTCTAGGAGAGGATGATAGCTTGATGCAAAGTTACTGTGTTACCAGGTGAAAGATGGAAGTAACTGAATGAACAGGGAAGGAAGTGAAGACAGGGGCAGTGGGGGGGCAAACGGATAGAAAGCAGAGAATCATGTGGTACCTGAAACACAGAGTGTGGCACAGAGTAGGCCTCAAGAAAGATCTGTGGACTGAAAGAATGGAAGATCCTGCAGGGTCCAACTACAGGGTTCTAGGAATGGCACTTCTGGAAAAGTAGGCAATTCTGTCTGGGAAGGGGGACGGACCTGCATTTTTAGGCAGGGACAAGGGCGAGTGGTGGTCAAACAGAAGGCAGATAGTGTTGTGAGAGTCAGGGAGGTGAAGGAACTGCTGGTGAGGGTACTGGCGGGGCCCAGCCTCTGCTTTTCTACTGGGAAGAGGCAGGCTGTGGTGGGAAGAGGCAGGCAAAGTAGGAGCTAGCAAGTAGACAAGTCTTTGAAAGCCAATGTCTGCTGTGGCTGTGGGTGGACAGAGGTCAGAAGGTAACAGGATGAAGCAGATGGTTGTTTACCTTGCATTTTGGTCAAGCAGATGGAAGAACAGAATTCTATGGGGCTAGAGAAACAACGAAGCCCCTGATTTTGGAAATAACCAGAAAAGGTAGGAAAAGGGCCCTGGCTGGTGTAGCTCACTGGATTGAGCGCGGGCCTGTGAAGCAAAGGGTCTCTGGTTCCATTCCCGGTCAGGGTACATGCCTGGGTTGCAGGTCGGGTCCCCGGTGAGGGACACAGGAGAGGCAACCACAGGTTGATGTTTCTCTCCCTCTCTTTCTCCTTCCTGTCCCCTCTCTCTAAAAATAAATAAATAAAATATTTAAAAAGAAAAGGTAGAGAAAGGGAGAGCTACCTCACATGCCCTGCCCCTCACTCTACTCTTGCCCCAGCCCCTTTAGCCAGTGCTCCCACTCATACACGATGCAGAACATGGGCAGAACATGGCATGAAGGGAAAAGTCCAGGTCTGAGCAACAAGGAGCCCCGTGTGTTCTAGTCCTGCCTCTACCATCACCTTACTGTGTGATCTTGGATGAATTCCTTTCCTTCTCTGGACCTTCATTTCCACATGCACACAAATAGTTCCATTTACCTTATAAAGTTGTTCCAGAAGTAAATGAAACAACGGATGGACAAATAATTCGTCAACAGTCAAATGCTCTCTGCTTGCAAGAGAGTGGTTAGACTAATGCTGCCAAAATAAACCCATGCATATATGGCCTGTTAACTTCTGACAGAGGAGCTAAGATGCACAGTGGGAGAAGGAAACTCTCTTTAATAAATAGTGTTGGGAAAACTGGACAGCCACTTTCAAAAGAAGGAAACAACCGCTAGCTCACACATACACACAAATAAACTCCAAGTGGATTAAAGCCTTGAGTGTAATACCTGAAACTGTAAAACTGCTAGAAGAAAATACAGGCAATAAGCTTCTTCACACAGGTCTTGGTGATGACTTCCTTGTATTTCATAGCAGAAGCCAAGGCAACCAAAGCAAAAATAAACCAATGGAACAACATCAAACTGAAAAGCCTGGGCACACATCGAAACATTATTTATAATAACCAATTTATAAACAATGCTGTGGCAAAGGAAACCATCAAAAAATTAAAAGGCAACCTACAAAATGGGAGAAAATATTTGCAAACCATGTATCTGATAAAGGGGTTAATATTCAAAAGATTAAAAAAACTCATGCAACTCAATGACAAAAAAAACCCAATTTGATTTAAAAATGAGCAGAGGCCCTCCTGGCCAGGTGGCTCAGTTGCTTGGTGTGTTGTCCTGTGCTTCAAAAGTTTGCAGGTTTGGCCTTGGCTGCTGTGGCTCAGTAGATTGAGTGCCAGCCTGTGAACCAAAGGGTTGTGGGTTCGATTCCCAGTCAGGACACATGCCTGGGTTATGGGCCAGATCCCCAGTGCGGGGTGTGTGAGAGGCAACCACACATTAATGCTTCTCTCCCTTTCTCCCTCCTTTCCCCTCTCTTAAAATATATAAATAAAATCTTTAAAAAATACTTTGTGAGTTCAATCCCCTGTTGGGGTGTGCATGAGAGACAACCGATCAAAGTTTGTCTCCCACGTGGATGTTCCCCTCTCTCTCTCAATTCAATAAATAGATACCAATAAGTAAGTATCCTCGGGTGAGGACTAAAGAAATGGGCAGAGGATCCGAATAGACATTTTTTCCCAAAGAAAACCCACAGATGGCCAACAGGTGCTCAACATCACTAATCAACAGGGAAATGTAAGTCATAAGCACAATGAGCTATCACCTCACACCTGTTAAAATGGCCATTATCAACAAGATAAGAAATAACAGGTGCTGGCAAGGATGTGGAGACAAGGGAACCCTGTCCACCGCTGGTGGGAATGTACACTGGTGTGGCTAGTAGGGAACATAGTATTCGGGTTCCTTAAAAAAATTAAGAATAGAACTGCCATATGATACAGCAATTCCACTTCCAGGTATTCACCTGAAGGAAATGAAAATGCTAACTCGAAAAAATACATACACCCCACTCTCCGTGAAGCTTTCTTTATAATAACCAAGACATGGAAGCAGCCTACGTGTCCATCTATGGATGGATGGATAAAGAAAACATGCTGTCTATCTACTGTATGTATACTCAGCCATAGCAAAGGAAATCTTGCCATTTACAACAACATGGATGGAGCTTGGGGGCATTGTGCTCAGTGAAATAAGTCAGAGAAAGACAAATCATGTCTAATCTCACTAACACGTGGGATCTACAATTTTACCAAATGACTGTATAGGTGCAGAGAACAGATTGGTGGTTGCCAGAGGCATGGTGAGGCGGGTGGGTGAAATGGTGAAGAGGGTCAAAACTTACAAACGTCCTTTTAGAAAATGAACAAGTCATGAGGATGTAATTTTCAGCATGGTGACTGTAATAAATACTGTATCCCATATTTGAAAGTTGCTAAGAGTGTAGATCTTAAAAGTTCTCATCACAAAAAAATGTCATAACCATGTATGGTGACAGTTGCTAACTACACTTATTGTGATCATGTGACAATACACACAAATATCAAATGGTTATGTCATATACCCGAACCTAATATAATGCTGTACGCCAAGTATATCTCATCAGGAAAAAAATGTAATGCTGGCAGATTTGCCCCGGGAAATCAGAGAATGTGTTCTCTGTACATTCAGCAAGCCATTTTGATGACTGTGCATACTTCATTGCAAGAACTTAAATCTTCAAGTCTGAAAGACCAGAGTATTTAGGGCCTTCCCCAGGCTAGTTCCTGGCCTAGTTCTTGTTCAAATACATTGAACTCGAACCAAACTTAACTGGTAATCCAAACTGCCCTGCTTCCCCCCCCCATTTCTATGTCATTGCTCTCCGAGTTCCCTCCACGAATACTTTTTCTTTCCTCTGTACTAATTAAAACCCTTTCCATCATTCCATGCCAGATCAAATACCACCTCTTCCATCATAATTTCCTTCAGGATAGCAGCTGAAGGGGAGCTCTCTGGTTTCTGAAATGCAACAGACCATTTTGCACTTTCAATCTAGCCTGTGGGGGCCACCTTTCCGAACGAAGGAAAATAATTTTTCCTTTCAAGGAAAGAATGCAGACTGATCAGTGGCATGTGAAGAGCAGAGCTGGCTCCGGGCTCCAGGCAATGACAGGAAGGAAGGGATTAAGGGAGGGAGGGAGGGAAGTCAGGAGGAAAAAAGGGAGGTGAGGAGGAGACAGGGAGAGACAGAGAGAAGGAGGGACAGAAGTGGGGGGGCTAGCTCAGCTGCAAGGGTTAAGATTTGGTTTTCTTGGAAGCTGGTGGCTGTGTTGGGGGTTGTGGGGAGACTAGGTTATCATTTGGGACCAATGCCAACAAGAGAGGAAAGGCCAAGGGAGAGATTACACTCCAGGAACAGTGATATCACCTCTGCCTCACACTCACGCCTCCTAGGGAAGGTTGCCTCAGAAGATTCATCATCAGAATTGGAGAGGATCCTTTCCAACCCCTGGCCTGTTGTCTGGATGGGAATGGTTAGGCCTGGGAAGTGGAAGGGACTAAAGCACGAGGCCTTGAAACTTGTCTCTGCCCACCAGCAACACAGGCAACTGGAAATAGAATAGCCGATAACATGGGCGCTTAACTTAGGGTTTTATTCTGCTCATCTGGGAAATGGAGTTAAGAGTTTCAGCCCTTCCTCTGTGTCTAGAATTTGGTATGCTCTCCTACACCCTCCTCAAGCACACGTCCTTTGAAATTCTCAGAGGAGCCACATGCTTTCACGGGTGAACCAGAGAATCTGTGTCCCAGATGTCACAGGGGATGCCACCCTGGCCAGGCCCCATTCGAAGGGCGCACTTTCCTGGGGGCCTATAGTAAATGGGGTTGAGTCCTAATCCCCAAGGGTCTTGAATAAGGGGCTGGGGTGGGGGGAAGAGCCGGGAGAACTCACCTGTGAGAAGGGAGGTGGGGCTGCCTGCCCTGAAGCCCTCTGTCTGTGCTTCCAGCCCAGTCCTTCAGTTCTCTTTGCTCCCTGCAGATAAACAGTTGCACCACTGTCCAAAATGCATCAGAATGAAAGTCTGGGAGCTGAGTGGGCAGGACCCCAGAGCTAGATGTCCAGTGCAGCCACTAGGAGCTAGGGCGAGCGGAGGAGGGAAGAGGTAGGAGAGGCAAGTCAGTTCATGATGCCATTGCATGCCTCTCCTCCCTAGTGATAGATTATGATGTAGAGGGGCTGTCAAGGCAGCTCCCAGAAAGATATAGTGCTTCCCAGGTACAGATGATCTGGGCTCTCCTCTCTCATTCCTTCACCTTGGGCCTCTCTCACTGCGCTTCCACATCCCCACACAGATGTCTTGCAGGAGAAATATGAGAAGGTATTGTGGAAAGTTAAAGAGTTAGCAAAATGAAAGTGCCTGGCTCTGAATTCGTGTCGTTATCTCTGCAGGTCTTGTTTTCTTCCTTCCCCCACTTTTCTCCACAGCAGAGGGGACTGACTGATCACTGCAGGTCGTGATTTCTAGGACCCCTCTTTGGTCATCTTCTGGCTAGGTTCCACCAGGGAGAGGCACCGGTGGGAGGGTAGGAAAAGTGGAGAAGCAAGAGTATTTCGCCTCCATCTTTTGTGCTTCTTCTGGTATCTGCTGTGTATATTCATGGTTCCCACTGTTATTACACTTCCCATTCTGCCATATGATCCCAGTTTCTGACCCAGTTCACACCACATCCTCCCACTGTTCCTCCATTGTTCACCTCTCCATGATCTGCCTTATATTTCAAGGGGGCTAACCCCCCCCCTTAGGCTGTGTGTCCCAGGCTCTCAAATTAGTTCACTTCCAGTTTTCCCTAATGAGGGAGACATTGGAGGCAGATTGAAGGGCAAGAATGAGGGAAAGGAGCCATGGCTGGTGTGGCTCAGTGGACTGAGCACCAACCTGCAAGCCAAAAGGTTGCTGGTTCGATTCCCAGTCAGGGCACATGCCTGGGTTGTGGGCCAGGTCCCCAGTAGGGGGCGTGTGAGAAACAATCAACTGATATTTCTCTCACATATCAATGTTTCTCTCCATTTCTCCCTCCCATCCTTCCCCTCCCTCCACAAATAAATAAATAAAATCTTTAAAAAAAAAGAATGAGGGAAAGGAAAGGATACTTTTTTCATTTCCTCTGGTTTGGGCAGTTTTTCTCTCCTCTGGTTCTAGCACCTGCGGACAGACCTGTGATCCCACTTGCCAACAGGTGACCCCTGTCCCTGCACTCCCGACATCCTTTCTCCCTCAGTCCTTTAGCCAGGGATAGTCTAGGACTCCCAATACCACTCACATCTTGGTTACCTTCCTGTCCAGCTCAGATTCTCTGCCTACTACCTATGTAACCCGTTTCTTTTCTGCATTAAATTTGGTCATAAACATTTGGAAGTTTATTTTCCCAGTTTTGTCTTGATTATAAACTGGACTGAAGGGAATGCAGCTTGTGGTTGAAAGGTGAGTGAATGGGAGGCTCGCTGGTCACTTGGCTCAAAATAATAGGGGACTGGGTGACAGGCCCTGAAAAGATACGTGGCAGCAGCCAGAGAAATGGAGGGAGGTACAGGGCTGAGCCAGCTGCAGCTACCCTTCTGCGCACTTGAATTCTTTAAGACCTTGCTTCTAGAACAACACAGCTCCAAATTCTCTCGAGGATTTGGGTAAGCGGGTGTGGGCCATTGGGTTAGTTTTCACATTCTCTCTTTCAATGGCCACAACTCCCACACCTGTCAAATGCCAGACCATCACCGCCCCTCCTGATGGCCAACCACACTATTACCCAGCCCTCCTCCCCCACACCAGACACAGCAGCCACCAGGGTTTATTTTGTTGATGATTTTATTGTGGAGGATAATACAAGAAAGCAGCTCTGAGTGAGTGGGAGGATCTCTAGTGCCCTCTACCTACCTGGGTCCCCAAGAGGTTTTTGGGTGTGTTGTGGATGTCTGGGTACACTGCAAGATTACAATTTGTGTTGGAGGTAGCTAATCAAAGCAGGGGGGATATCCAGGTGGTCAATGGCTTGCAGTTTGCTGGCCTGGTGCAGAGCTCTGCGGATAACTAACCGGGCCTGTGACAGCAGTGTCCGTGGAGTGGCTACAGCAAGGAGAAACAGGTCATGAGAAGCGATCATCAGGGCAAGTCTCCCACTCAAGGCCACATTCACCCTGCCCTCGCTACTGCAGCCCTAAATGTCCTCTTCCTTCTAAGAAGTGCCCCCCCCCATTTCAATGTATGGTACCAATAGGGACACACTGGGGCCTAGAGAGCGCATGCTCAAGGCCACAAGGCAGTCACAGGCAGAGCCAGAACAAGATATCAGGCTACCGCTACCCTCCCCTACTTCATGTTAGTGATCTTGTCCCTAATAAGGAATGTGTAACCTCTTCTCCACAGGGCCTCCAGTAGTGGGAGGATGATTGTGTTTTCTGCAATTCATCCCAGAAGGACTGGCTTGGGGGATGATTTGGGGACCGGGGACCTGAGACCTTCACACCAGGAAGCTTATAGGATCGACCCACTTGACACTCACCTCGGGCTCGAAGCAATAACAGGATGCCTTTATTACTTTTCCAGTTCAGGTCCAGGAGAACAGATGGAAGGTAGATGTTAGCACCAAAATCAATTAAGAGCTGGATGTACTCTGGATCGCAATGGTGGTGGAGGCAGGTTTCCAGGACGGTGCGGGGCTGTGGAACACGAGCTAGTAGGTACTGGTCAGTGCAGTTGTAGTTGGGGTCTGCCCCGTACAGCAAAAGCAGGCGGAAACAGTCAAGGTGCCCGTAGACTGCAGCCAAAAACAGGGGGCCGGAAAATGAACTCATGCTCAGCACCCAGACTGGTAGTTTAACCTTGACATTTGGATCTGCACCATGACCTAGGAGCTCCTGCAGGATGGCAACAGCACCATCACGCGCGGCTGTGAGCACGGGAGAGCAGTTGTTGTAGATGCTTCCACTGGGAGAGGCACCGGCTGCCAAAAGCGTGCCCACGCAATCCAGATGGCCGTGGCTGACGGCAGTAAAAAGTGGTGTCTGTGCCTTGATGTCCAAGCTGTCAACATCAGCGCCGTGTGCCAGAAGGACCTGCAAACAACTCAGGTGGCCAGAAGAAGCAGCCAAGTGCAACGGTGTCCCAGGAACACCCCAGCCACTCTTTGTGTTGATCAGACGTTTATACTGCTCCTGGCGCAAAAGCTGGTCCAAGGTGTGGGAGTCATTTCTGTGCACTGCTTCACTGAGAGCCTGCTTCTGCTCCATGTCCGTGTCATCCTCCTCTTTGTTGGGCTGCAGGAGGGAGAACATTTTGCTGATGTCCATGAAGTTCATGTTGCCTTATGGGAGCAGAACTATCCTCATCATGAGGAAGAGAAGATGCCAGCTCTGTGGATGACAAAAAAAGGGGAGAGAGACTGAGGGTCCCCATCAAAAGCCTGGATACCAGCCCTTGCCCTTCCCCCCATCCTTCACCATCAGGTTCTCCACTCATGGGTCCCCGGCTTATAACTCCTACTCCATGTTATTTTAAGCCACAGAGACCGCTGCCAAAACAGATCAGGCCTTTTCACAGCTTGGTGCCTTTGAATATGCTGTTCTGTCTGCCCTTCAAACTGCTACATCTGGGAAGCCCTGCCTAATCTCCTCCTCCCCCAGCTCAGGGATTCCCAAAGATCACAAGTCGACTTTAGCTATGAAGTTTCACACCACAATTCCACTTGTCTGGGCTTCATTACTGTGTAAAATCCATAATGAGGACCCCCGCATTCATCTTGTATTCCTCCACTCCCCACAGGACTTATATCATGGCTGGGGATTTGGTAGATGCATCTTCCTTAGTTCAGAATGTGTAAGCTAATGAGAGGGCTCTGGCTTGGCAGTTTCTAGGCCAACAGAATGGTGCTTTGTGATGTTAAGCTCCCATCCCTGAGCATTCTGACCCCACCTCTTAGCCTGTGAGATGAAGTGCAACCTCTTCATGGCCCCTCATATGTGACCCCCCTCAGATTCATAACTCATGCTTCAGGCAACAGAATGGGTGGGAGTGACATTTATTGATTAAATAAAGAGGTGGCATTACAGAGAACCCACTTCAAGTAAAATAGAGTCGAAGAGATGGCAGAAAATAGTGGAGGTGTCCAGGCCAAGTTCTCTTCTCCAGTGACAACTGCATTCTGCCCTAAGACCGTTCTAATACAGGACTGATTGATTAGCGGCACCTCCTTGAAACCCATGCCTTCCCCATCCCTCTGAGTCAAATCTTTTCCCATCCTCTCTGCCCCACCGGCCTATAACTTTGCCTGAACCCTCACTTCACCTCTCCCCATTATACCCAGACCCTGTGAAATCACCCATGGCACAATGACTGACTCAAGGTAACTCTGACCTTAACAGTCCTGTTTCTAGTGTTTAAAGTCAGTTGCCCCCCTCAGTTTGTAAAGTCAGCAGGATAAGCTGGTGGGTTTTCCAGAGCCCGACTCTCCCCACTCTCCCATTACCTGCAGCTGTGGCCTGGGGGCCACACACTGCCTTTTATTTACTATCCACCCCCCCACCTTTGTGAGCCTGGGACCTCAAGCACACACCTCAAAAACTTTTTCACCTTTAGACCCCTCCCCACGCACAAACATCAGCTTCATATACGGTCTTAATATTACTGTATTTCGGGACTATAAGATGCACCCCCCCCATTTGGGAGGAATAATGGTTTTTAATGCTGCTGTTGAGTTCTGTTTATGTTTATATTGGTGAAATATTATGTTATTTATGTTATTAAATATTTTACCACATTTTTTGCTTCAAAATTTTTTTCCTACTCTACAACCTAGGTGCGTCTTATGATCCAAAAAATACGTTACTTATTTTGGGGTACAATTATAAGAACAGGATTTTAGAAATAAGGCAGACCTAAGGTGGCAACTTAGCAACCCCAGAGCTTAGCTGAGTAACCTTGGGCAGGACTCTTCCTGTCTTTGGACTCAGTTTCCTTTTCTGTAAGACAGAAAGAATAGCCCCTTGCCTCATGAGTCTATTAAGGGAAAAGAGCTAC